ATTAGAAATCTGATTAACTTCATAAAATTCAAAATGCGCCTCCATGTTCATTAATGAGGTGAAGGGAAGGGGAAAGTTAACGAATGACCACCATTGAATTCCGAACTGAATCTAATAACTATCAAAAAGTTAAAAGCAATAATTTATTCTGAAACATATAAAACACCAAAATTATTGTATATGCCATTTGACTTGGAACTCCAATTTCTTTTTGGCTTAGTTGAAATTCATATTGCTAAACCATCTATACATCGACTACTTAAATAAATATGATTTGGGTATATTTGCGCAAGCGTGCATGCATATGTAGTATTTCACGCCTACTTGCTAACATCCGGAATAAAAGTATAACAAGAATTGATTAGACCAAAATATCATAATGATTTTCTATATCTTAGAAGATTTTATGCCCCATGTTTAACATCCAAAAATCAATCTGTCTTTTAGAATACTTATGGAGTAAGACAATAAAATCATCTATAGCTTGGGGTTCAACAGTAGTACACATTAAGGTGTTATAATTCACCAGCAGTAGAAAAAGAAATGCGAGGTACACCTAGGTCTCTCTGATACTGGCCAATCAGGAGACTATTCAATAAGTTACAAAACTTATGGAGAGAATTGTCAAAGAAACACAGACACAATCAGGGGAGAAGAGAATGAGACCTTCTCCATATTCCATGTTCTCGAACGTGGCAAAAGCTATTTCTGGTATCCCGCAAGTAGCCTAATTAACAGATAGAGATGCTATCAGTATAGTGAAGTCTTCAAAAAAAAGGAATAAAAAAAATATCATACAAGCTTCTAATAATTAAGCTCAACATACAAGCTTGTCATAACATACTATTCTACAATAAGAAAGAGATTTCATGATCTGGTGCACATCACAAATGGGCTTAAAGGTTGTTTGACACGGCTTTCTTGTGGCAGCTTCAGCTAAAAAAATGAATGTTGCAGCAATTGAGCTTTTAAAGGTGTTTGGCAAACACCTCAACAGCAGCAGCACCTCTAAAGCTACAACAGCTTACGGTAGTTTTTTGCGAGCTGTCTCACCCAGCTTTGAAGTGTTACAGCTTTGCAACATCTATCATCAAATGCAAAACTAGCAGCACTTCACATCGTAGCTACAGATGAACCACAGCTATACCAAACAAGCTCTTAGAAGCACATAGGCATACATTCACGCATAGTATGCTTTTCCAAAGTTATTAAGCCCTAGAAATTATTGATTAACCAAGCTTATTAAGCCCTAGAAACTATTCCAAAAACCAAGAAATGATTAGAAACATACAACAGACAAATCCTATGCACATAAAACCTGTTGTTTAAATCATTAATGTGTCAGATTGCAGAATTAGGCTCATAAAGAATCAGGGCAAACCTGAACGCTAAGAAGACAATTGAAATGGAAAGTTGTGGCCATTCTTCCTGCTGCCTCCATTTCGTAACAAATTTCCAAAGCGTTAGAATGGTCCCCAACTTTACAGTCTTCTTGAATTAGAAGATCATAGAGCTCATCTGTAGCTCTCAAACCGCCTTTTGCTCCGTTCAGGAAAACATCATTAGCATCCTCCAGATGCTTGTTCCTGATAAGCTCCTCTGTCCGAAAGTTTAAAAAACAGAAATCGTTACACTCGCGCAAAAGAATACAGCACTCATACACATAAGCACACGCAACCCGGCGCGCAAAACAAAAACTTGAATAAGTACCAACAAGAACTATCCACGCCTGGCGTATATCGTAGTTCAATTTCTCCATCGCCGCAAGAATCTCCATTCCTCTGCTCGAGTATCCTTTGGAACCAAACAACCTAATCAACGAAATAAACGTCTCATGCACCGGTCTAAGCCCCGCACTGAGCTCCCTCCTCAGCGAGTGCATCTGCATTCAAACCAACAACGCGCCATCGTCACACACAACAGACCAACTCTAGCACCAAAAGCAAGACCAATCCCTGCGATTAAACAGCTTCGAGACTCAGTTCTTGCTACACATTAGGGGACAGCAAGGGGACGATCTTTCTATCTGCCGAACCAAAATGGATCTAAGATTAACGTCCTAGCATTTTGAGCTTCAATTGTGCATTACCGCGCCCTCCGCGTCACCGTTGAGCACGTGCGAGACAACGAGTCCGTGGAACGACCGGGGCCCGGGGCTCAACCCCGCGGCGACCATGTCGTAGATCACTCCGGACACGCCGGCGGCGTCCCCGTCCCGGGCGCGGGTCGTCAGCTCCTCCATGAAGGCGAGGCGGAGGGCCTTCTCGGCGGCGGAGGCCGAGGCCATGACATAGGCGGGAGAGGCGGGGCCGGAGCCGTGGCCACCGCCGCCCCCGCCGCCGGCGAGCTGCTGCTGCTCCGCCTGCTGCTGCTTCCTCCGCCTCCCCCTCCCCCGAGCCTTCTTCTGCGGCGCGGGGGAGGCGACGGCGGAGCGCGGCGTGGCGGCGGGGGGCCGGCGCGGCGGCGGAGGCGGCTGGAGGAAGAGGCGGGAGCGGGGAGCGGAGAGCGCGGTGAGCATTTGAGGGAGGATGGGAGGGGCGGGGGAGTCGTTTGGGTTTTTGGATAAAGCGAAAGTTCGAAGCGAGAGAAATGAGGACGGAGGACGGAGGGGTTTAGCGAAAGCTAAGATTGTCGTCGCTATGAGAGAGACACCGTCGCCGGTGACCGTTATGGTGTCCGAGCAAGTTAAGAACGGAGTGATTTGATTTAAATCTGGCTCTTGAGAGTTTTTTTAGTGTGATGGAGTACCTAAATTTTGAATTTTTTTTCCAATTTAGTTGGACAAATGTACGGATATACTGATATGACCGTTGGATTATCGTTAAATGAAAACGTTTCACTCTCACGTGGCAACTTACGTGTGTTAAGATTAAGGATGATCGATTTAAGAGTGAATAGGTTTCAATGGAACTTATCTTATTATAATCGGTTCTTAATTTTTGGAATATGAAATTTATCATGTTTGTCGTATAACCTGTTTTAGAACACACTCTATTTTTTTCGGTCCGGTTCCAAATTTACCCTAAGAACCTGTTTTTCTTTTGTTGCGTTGTCTGATTTCATTTTTTCCAGTATAGAAATTGGCGGTCGGTACCCTTCCGTAGGCGGAACCAAGCAGCTCAACCCCTTATCTTTCTCCGGATAATGCCGCTCGAACCTCTCGCCTCTCTCCGTCCAATTCAACCTTTGGATGGCCTCCACATTGTCCAAACAAGGTATGTACTCGCTCATACTGTCCGGGCAAAGCTCATACTTCTGAACCTGAACCTTCATCCCAATCTTCTCACCCTCGGTCCCTTCAATCTCAATCTCAATCGCATTATTCGTCCCCTCGTCCACAAACTCCGGATCAAGCTCCCCTACCTCGAAGTTGTCGGTCATCATCCCATTTTCGTCCACGATCCTGAACCTCGTGATCGCCAACAGAGGTGGGGGAGGAGGAGGAGGAGGAGGAGGAGATGTGGCGGCAGTCCCATCCTGCGATGGCTAGGCGGTGGTGGGAGGGCTAGGGGTTTGCTTATGAGGTGTGAAGGAGGAGACATCAAAGGATTTGTTGAAATTCGGGGAGAGGGCGGCGGAGGGAGGCCTCTGATGGGGGGGCGGAGGAGGAGGAGGAGATGTGCTGGCGCTAATCGTCGGACTCGGACCAGTGTTTGCCCAAGTAGAAGAAGACCCAGGAGATGGAGGCGAACGCCAAGACTTTCATGATAGCCGGTGTTCTCAGGAGATCCACATTGTTGAACGCCAAGACCTTGATGGTGGCAACTGGCGACGATATTAGTTGCTGGCTTGCTGCTGAGAGAGAGAGAGAGAGAGAGAGGCAACTGAGCTTGTTGCAGGACAAGATTGCACGAAGAGAGAGGGACTGAGAGAGAGAGAGAGGTGAGATGACCGAGTTTAGTGAGCTAGGGTTTTTTTTCAACACAAGTTAAAAATCGGTGCCAAAACCGGTTTGATCGGTCCGGTTCCCAAGCGGGTCATCACTTGGAACCGGGAACCAAACTGGTTCCAAAAAAATGAAATCAGTTCAAATAGAAACTGGTTTTGGACCTGTTTTTCAGATGATTTAATTTGATTCCCAGGTAAATTCAATCCGGCTGAACACCACTAATTAAGATAATCTAAAAAAGTTTCTCCTGATTTTAGAAAATGAAAATCTGGATAAACAGAAGGAAAAAGGCGAAATAGAGGGAGAAGGGTTTTGTCAAAGAGAAACATGGAAAGAAGGGGAGGGGATCAGAGTCCCTCACCGTGCTTCTTGTCACTTCGATCACGGCATCCCTCACCGAGCCTCTCTCTCCCTGGTGTGTATGCGTGTGCTTGTGGCGAGGACGACTTGTTACGACTGGTCCAGACGAAGGTGAGGGTCGGTGGACTCTCGCTGGTGATGGAGTGGACTGGCGACCCCTGCCAGCATATGGGTGGCGCCACCGTTCACTAGCCTTCGCCGCCCATCTCTGCTCCTAGTCTTTTATTTTTTGCTTGTTTTTTTCTACTACTTCAGCTTGTTGAGGGTCACTCAGGTGGCTTGTCACGTCAGCATTTTCATCCACATGTTTGGTAGAATGACCAATTTGAGAAAAAAAAATGTATTCACTCTAAGAAACCAATTACATAATAATAAAAGCCCGGGAACAAATCGAATGTTTTGCAATATGACGATTGAATTAGAGATAACATTCTCCTAGTCCCATGAACTCATCAAAACTATCATAGAGCTAGCACATCTCCTAGGTGTATATCTAGGGTAGATTTAATGCTAAGTATTTTTATGTTAATGATCGAGGGTTTGTTCTCACTATCCTCACTTCTTGTCATATCTCCTTGGTAGATTTGTGAACTGGAACAAGTAAATGCCTCACCACACCTTCCTTCTAAGATTATGGATTAAAAGGAAAGCATTTAGTTTATTATTTAGATTGATCGACCGGCCTCATACATAAAGCACCACCACCCACACGACATGAAAAGAGGTTTTGCTTCTTCCCACATTCAAGAACTCAGTCGTCGATCTTCATCTTCTGGAGGATGTTCTTGAGGATCTTGATCGACAGTGGCTTTCCATAGCAATCATCCAGACCAGCCGCCATGAAAGTGCCCTTCTCGGTATCCATGGAGTGCGACGTCACTCCCACGATCATGCTGCTGACTCCCATGTTCCGCAGCTCCTTTGTTGCCTGCGGCGAAGATGAAAATGCCGTTGTTAGGGTATGGAATGGATATCGAATGATCGACGAAAACTAACAGACATGTGAAAAAGTTTGTTTGTGCATCTTAGCAGCAGCACGTAGTTACCTCAATGCCGTTCATGACGGGCATCTCCCAGTCCATGAGAACGAGATCAAAGGATTCTCCAGCGCGGAACAGATCCACCGCCACTTTCCCATTTTCAGCCAGTTTAGATTCCACTTCCACGCCCACCCTATTCACCAGGATGGTATGGATGGTGCGGATCGTCGAGTCGTCGTCCACGATCAGCACTGACAGTTTCTTCTTTGCCGGTGCGGCAGTCAAGCTGACTCCAGTCCACTCGCACATTTCAGCCTTCCCGCTTCCGGTGCCCCTCAGATCGGGGCTAGCTGCACCGGCGACTTGCTTCGACAGCGACATCCCCTAGTGCCACGTCGCACAACCGAAGTTACATTTACATGAGGATCAAGCATTCATGTAATCATCTGGCCTATAATAGGTCGAACGATAATTTGTTTTATATGTCAAGCTCTAATTTGATGATACTTTTGTAAGGATTAGGTTAATTAATGACTCCTTTTTTTTTGTAGGATTTCATCCTGAAGATCATTGTGCAGTCACTCTTTAGGATGTGTTGGATGATGAAAATGAAATGAGTTGCATGCATGCATACATATAGCTTCTTAAGTTGGCTTAAAAGAAGTATTTTCGAAGAATAAGTTACAAAACTAACCCGAAACACCTGCTCGCTCACACACAAGAACGGAGGCCCGTAGGAAGGAGCTTGGACTCTTGTTTTTCTTACTTCTTTTGACATCTTCAGCGGGGATTATATAGCACAAGAGAAGGGAAAAAGCTACTTAACTCGCATTTAAAATTAGCTAAAACAAAATCTGATAGCCAATATCGACTCATTACTCGACCTAAAAAAAGGTTGAATGTAATACGCCAAAAAAAGACATTTGAAAAAGCAGAAGACTACAAAGCAACCGAAAGTGATATCCCAAATATTAATATCGTAATCTGGTCTTCGAATCCACAATTATTATTATACTATCAGTATCGTTATCCAGTCTCAATTCACAATTATTGTTTCAGATGCTATTTCTTTTGCAAACTAGTTACTTTAATAATGAAAGTGACACACTCAAGGCATACTTGAGATCCACCTACTTGTGTACATGAGACCTTGCTATCGAAACTTTGAGAAAGTTATACTTAGAATAGTAAATACAAATTTTTGAACAATAGGTTATGTTTTTTTTGTTCTTCTTTAATCTAAAGTATGTAAATCATTACTTTAGCAAGTTCTTGGAAGAATTTCATTGAGTTTTTATGGCTAGAAAATAGTCGAATTGACCTAACTTCTCATAAAATTAAAAAAATTGAATCATTGGATTTTCCCTCAAAATTTGATATAGTTCATCATTGTCAAATTGGGATAAACATTGCAAACCCTAAAGCTATATATGTTGTCGGAATATAGTTTATATGATTAGAATCATACCAATTAACAAAGTAGCTTTTAGAATTTATCTGATATTTAATTGCGTGAAAATTAAAAAAATATTGTAAATGAGAAAGTACATTTTTAGTACAATAACTTTCCATTTCATGCACTTACTTACATAATTATTTGCGTGCACACGCAGCCTGAGCCTGAACACTAGTTTATAATTAACCCAAAAGTTTACACTAAACAGCATTAAGAAATAATCAGATATCATTTTGAGTATACATTTTGTTAATTCATTAAGCAATAGAAGTAGAGAGAGATAAAAATTGATTAGGTTAGAAAATTTGGGTTCTAAATCATTTATATGCAATACTCAAGAATAATGTATAAGCTAATAAGAAGCAACGGTTAGGAAAATGAAGAACCCGGTCAAAAGCTTGATTAGCTAACCTTATACAACTTATACTTTTGCCTTTTTTAATGGAATTAAGGAAAAAGTCGATCCTTCTTTCAAATTTAGGCTATGTTTAATTAGTGAAAAATGAATGACTTGGAAAGTATTTTTCCAAATTGATTGATTGTATCCCTTCAAATAATTAGCTACTGAAAATCATTATTGACAACAAATTACATTTGAATATTTTCATAGATGATGAAAATATTTTTCATTCAGCCATTTTGTAAGCAATATAAGCGATTAATTTGAGGAAAATATTTCCAAAACTTTCATTTTCTGCGAAACAAATAGAGCCCTAAACTCCTTAATTTGTCATTGCTCATTTCTGTCGAGATTATTAGGGATGAATAACTCATCATCTTTTATATAGGAATAGATATAATCTACATATGAATTTTATTAGATATTAAAGCACTTATCGATTTTTATTAAAAACACCTTATACACAAACATGTATTAACGTTCCATTTGTTTCGCAAAAAATGAATGATTTGGAAAATATTTTCCTAAAAATGGTCGCCCATATCTCTTGAAATAATTAGTTGATGGAAAATGTTTTCATGATAAATTTTTTCATTGTCCACGAAAATGAGGGAAATTATCAAAAAAAAAGTCATAAACCTGTTACACTTATGCCAATTCGGTCATAAACATTTCAAATTAACCAATTTAGTCCTAAATCTTTTGGCAATTTGTAGATGTAGTCCATCCGAGCAATTTTGATCAGAAATCGATGATGTGGACGCCGGCTGTCCTACGTGGCATAGCCGACGCTGACGTGAACAATTTTTTTGCAATTTTAAAAAATATTTGTTGCAATTTTTTTCTTCCCTCTTTTGACATCTTCGGCTCGGATTTTATACCCCAAGAGAAGGGAAAAAGCTACTTAAGTCGCATTTAAAATTAGCTAAAAAAAATCTGATAGCCAATATCAACTCATTACTCGACCTTAAAAAGTTGAATTTAACATGCTGGAAAAAGACATATATGATAAAGTAGAAGACTACAAAGCAATCAAAAGTGATATCCCAAATATTAATATTGTTATCTAGTCTCCGAATCCGCAATTAGTATCATACTATCAGTATTGTTATCCAGTCTTGGATCACAATTATTGTTTCAGATGCTATTTCTTTCGCGAACTAGTTACCTAATAATGACAATGACATACTCGAGGCATACTTGAGATCCACCTACTTGTGTACATGAGACCTTACTATGGAAACTTTGAGAAAGAGTAACTTGGAATATTAAATACAAATTTTTGAACATCAACATGTGGAAATCATAAAGTAAGATGTGTATGCTATCCGTGAAGTCACCCAATTGGGGACTAATGACAATTAACTGGTGTTTAATGGTTGCTCCCTCAAAGCTTAAACACATCTTATTTGAAGACGAAGCATTGCTAATGGGCAAAAGAACTGATTCTGGTCATGGAACTTACCATCCATGCATGATCTATAGGGTCAGAAAATAATTTGATGTGCTTTAAGAGAATTACTTCAATCACTAGCATTATACATGTACGAATAGGGAAAATTGTCCAAAAAGTCATAAACCTGTTGCACTTTTATCAATTTAGTCCTAAACTTTTTCACTTCTTGCCAATTGAGTCCGTCCGACCAATTTTGGCCGGCCAGCACTGACGTGGTCGCCGGCCGTTCGGCCAACACTGACATGGCAATTTTTTAAATTTTTTTTCTTTTTTTTTTCTAACTTCTTCCCTCTGGCGGATCAGGCGACCAGCAACTGGCCAGAGGAAGGCCAAAAGAAAAAAGAAAAAGAAAAAGAAATTTTTTTAAAAATTTAAAAATTCGAAAAAAATATTTAAAAAATTACCATGTCAGCCTTTGCCGGACGGCCGGCACTGGCCGGCGTCCACATCAACTTTGGGCGGTCAAAATTAGCCGGATGGACTCAATTGTCAAGAAGTGAAAAGGTTTATGACTCAATTGGCAAACTTAAAAGGTTTAAAATTGAATTGGCAAAAATACAATAGGTTTAGGACTTTTTGGATAATTTTCCCTGTTCGAATAATTCCTAAGTAGTGTCGGATCAGATGAAGATCGGAGAAAATTAGATAACATTGTAGATCGAAACTCGAGCAAGGCGTGTCAAATATTGTTTTACTTACGAGTCCTCCTTTAACCATCACCACCATACCAAATGGATAACTCGATCACCCGAAACTGTCAGAACGGCCTCGTCTAGGTTACCGATTCTCAATTTCATCAAACACGGCTCAGGAAGGATGACCATGATAACATGTCTCATAAAAATGCATCAATTACCATTATTGACTAAGTCCTTCACATAGATTTTAGTAGAAGATACATAACCATAGAGAGAAATTGAAGGACATTATTTTGACCTTAGCAAGTTTAGCAAGTTGTTAAAAGGCTTCATCTCGGTTCTCATTTGGACCTCGGGAATCATTGAGATGTAAAATGACTAGAGGGTATTTCCTCTCCCAAGGGAAGAAAAAGATATAAGAGTAACTTAAAAGGGCAAAGCGTGCGGGCACTAATACGTTAAAATACATAATGCATCTGTGGAGCTTACCGTCATTGTAATGTAAATAGACAGGCTGCAGATGCCCTGTCGGAGCTTGGCTCCCTCTCTTTAGTGATGTTTAACTCTTAAGCGAAATACCAAAGATCCAACGTTCTCAATTTTATCAAACGCGATTAACGAAGAATGACCATGATAACATGTCTCATAAAATGCATTAATTACCATTATTAACTAAGTCCTTCACAAAGATTTAAGTAGATGGTACATAGCCATTAGAGAGAAAACGAAAGACATTATCATGATTTAGAGCCTAGAGTCCATGGCCATGATGGTGGAGAGGTTCATGGGGTCCATGTACTTGGTGGAACCGGTCATGATCTGCTGGACGATCAGACGGTTGGCCTTCTGCGACGGGTGGAACGGGTCCCAAAACGCGTATTGGTCCCTGTTGGTGCACAGGGTCGACGCCACCGTGCAAAGCCCGATCCCGTTGTACGGCCCCTGCCCGCAGCATGCCACCTTCGATGTGATGAATCCTGCAACGTTCAAGGACCAAATTGATAAAGATTTAACGTGCGAGGACCAAATCGAACATTGGAAAAGAGTACAGGGGCCATTTTTGGCGCGCACCCCTTTTTTCAATCATATGTATACATACCGTATGCTTGAGGGTTGGAGATGAAGTCATTGTGCATCTGCTGGGTGTTGGCGCTGATGAACACCTGCGATTTGTACTTCTTGTTGAGATCCTTGAGCATCTGGACGAGCTGAGGGTTGTACAGTGATGCCGCCTGCTGCAGATCAGCAGCGCACTGCCCGTTCCGGCTCCGCATTGCCAACTCCGCCGGTACGCACCCCAGTGGTCCGGTGCCCGTCACCAAGACCCTCCGCGCCCCGAGATCGTACAACCTCTGCAAGAACAAAACGGGATCACAAAGAAACCAATGACACATAGACCCTCCATAGGAATGTCTTCTTTTTTTCTTGCACAACATAAGAACCCTGAAGTAAGCTATTAACTAATTACCATGAGGAGTTTTTTGAACTCGGAAATGACATAGCGGACGTAATTAGGGAGAGAGTACTGGCGAGATCTTGCGGAGTATGGCACCAAGAAGTAGTTATTCACGAAATCATTGCCTCCGACGGTGATGAGCACGAGGGCCTGGTTCACGAGCTTTTTGGTGCGTTCGGGCCCGATCAATGCAGCCACCCTTTGCTGGTACTGCCGAAAGTACTCAAATTGCTGATACATCCTTATTACATTGATCTGCAAAAGATTTATGTTGCATCCATTAGCGAACAGTATTCGATCGCTTGTTCTAATGTAATTTGAACTGCAAAAGAAGGGGGGACAGCTCACAAATTGAACTCCAGTGTCGTTGAGAACTCCAATTCCTGCTGAAGCGAAGTTTGCACCCACAAGCAGCCTTTGCCCTCCGAGCTCGGGGCTCAGGTATGGCAACGTGGACTCTGACCCAATCTCCTGGCCTGTCCAAATGAGAAAAGAGAATAAATACTAAGGCTCAAACATTGGACAAGGCAGTTCTCAAGAAGAAATGGTAAGTTTGGTAAGGACCCAACTGATGAAATCGGGGATGTTGAACCCGTTGGAGAACCGGCCCGTGGGCCGGTGGGTTGGGGGGTAGTCAATCCCGTAGGGCGGGGAGTCGGCCCGGGCGGTCGTCGCGAGGTAGTTGTTGTTGCCGTTGTCGACGAGCGAATCCCCGAACACGAAGAAGGCCCGCGCCGCCTCCGCTCGCGGCGCGAGGGTTATCCCCAATGACATGACAATAGCGAGAGCGAGAAGAGCGGGCCATGGAGTTTGGAATGAGGAGCTGGCCATTGAAGTGGGTGTGAGAAGCTCGAAATGGCTAGCTCTCTTTTTATGGTGTGATTTCACTTGCTTTGATACGTGAACGCAATAATAGGGGAAGAGCTTTATGCACAAAGCGAGGTAGTGGTTCGTAGTTTTGAATTAGGTCTTTTGCCAGATCAAAAGCAGTTGGTTCGGTCACCAATGAGTGAATGACCATGAACACCATTCAATTCTCAACTCCTAATTTTGCACAAGATGGAATTATATGATTACTCTGTTGAAAGTTGAGTGCATTAGGTTAATTGTCGAAAATAAGATTATCAATAGCGCCGCGAAATCCTTTACGTGTGCGAGCTTGGCGGGTGGATCGAACAACGATCCGAATCCAAGGTATACAAGAAGGAAGGGAAACTCATAAACGAGTGGAAGGAGAATTCGAGCTCGAGACCTTTGATTATAATAGCTTGTCAAAGCATAGTGCCAAACCGATCCTAAACTTTTTAGTGTACATGAAATCTCAAATTCGAAAGTTAAAATTCGGCTACTTTTATGTTCCGATGACTTTCCTTGCGCGAAAGCTAACAACTGTAGCATTAAAAATCGAACCGCAAAATTGATGATGACTGCGAAGGGAGCTGGTGGAAAAACGAGCGCACCAGAAGTTCTGAATCTCATTTATGGCACGCAATTGAGTTCTAAATCTTTCGGTTGCTATGATCAAATCTAAATCTTTTTTCTCAAAGAGTTAATCCGAGTCCTCCAACGACCGCCTCGATGTAGACTCGACTCTATCAATCTTTTTCCCTTTGTGCTTTGCTAGATTAAGGTACACAAATTCAATTGAACAGCAAAAGCCAAATGAATTGCCCGACTTGACATTGATGATTTAAACTTGCTTTCTCAACAAGGTCCCCTAGCTATTAATAGTTTCAGAGCAAGAAGGGAAGACAAGGAGGAGAAGAGCCAAAAGAGAGAGAGAGAGAGTAGGTGGCATGTGATGTGCGTAAATGGAGTATCACGGACGTGAGCTGTGTCCAGTGTTTTTTCCTTAGGGGACCTCGCGATTTCATTTTCCTTATTAGGTAGGTTTGTGAAAAAGTAGTGTTTCACAATTCATGTCGAAATATATCTATGGCCGTGTCTGTTCTTTTCGTAAATTAAGAGGCACGAGTGCAAAGTTTCGGTTGCTAAGATGCTTATCAAACACCATGCATGTCTCATAAATTGGTTATACGTCGCAAGTGAACCTAGATCTGAGAGGTTTGCACATTCTTGATAGGGTTGCAATTAGGTCACCCCAACTAATTTTGCACGAACCGTAGAATGTGATTATAGGATCAGATCTCGATATGACATATTCAAATTTTTTTTCTTCAGATGACCAGCAAACTAAATACTCAAGTTTTTGGTCTTTTAATCAGCTATTTTTTGACATGGTTAAATGGTTATATCTGTTGGAAATATGGGATAAATTGATGGGTGAATGAATGAGAAATTGATGCTCAAAGAACACCCTTGAGTTGGAAGTGGGAAGTGGAAAAACACTAGTCCCACATTGGAAAAGAAAGAAGGCTATGGAGTGCTTTATATACAGTTACACTCATTTGAAGTAGCAACTATCATAGCACAAATACTATGCCTCGCGTGCAGGCTCAGGGGGTGCAAATCCGACGCCCGACAAGCTGAAAATTGGGCGCGAGCGCATATCCCGCGTACACAATTGCAGGACCGAAAAGTAGGCCTCACGACGAGCCCAATTTTGCATTCTGATTTAATACGAATTTCGTAACGTACAGCTGATTTAATCAGCCGTTATTGCTCTCCCATTCTATTTTATTGAAATCGTTCTTCCTCTGTTAAAACATTCTCTGTATTTGCACGGTTTTCGATAGTGTTCAAGTTCGCCGGGAGCTTTGAAGTACACAGGCCTCGGTATTCATTTGTATCGATTCCAACTTTGTTATTGCAATTTCTTTTATTTGCGATTCGAGAGTTCAAACCTACACGCTCCCTTTTCACTGCCGTCTTGCTTGTTGTCCAACCGAGTTGGGTTAAGTGATGAGCTAGAACCTATTGGTAAAACAAATCTTACGTGAAATTGAAGAATTCACATGAGATCCTAAGAAATACCGCATCGCTCGCCAATCTCTAACTTCGCACGTATAAATTTATACACATCAATAAACACCCTTTATATCCCAAAACCGTATAAATACGTACGTCTTGTATCATATACCTTAAAATGCAATTTCATTTTCTATTTCTGAAACAAATTTTTGTTCCAAAATTAGGTTTGGAACATAAATTAGAAGTTAAAATTTTTTACTTTTCTATTTCTGGAACATAAATGAGAAGGTAAAATTCTTCTCATCGCTCACCCTCCCTATTAGCCGGTCGCCCACCTGCTGCCCATCGCAGCTCACTTGCTGGCCGCCGCCTCCAGCCATTCTCCGTCTCCCGCCGCCATGGGCCATCGGCCGCCCTCCCTCCCCCCGTCGCTGTGGGCCGCCACACGCTGTCCACCGGCCACTGTCTCCTGCCATTGGCCGCCGCCCTCGTCCCCTTGCTGCCCACCTCCCGCCATTCGCCGTCTCCCGCTGCCAGCCGCCGTGGGCAGTCACTCGCCGTCCACTGGCCACCGTCTCTCGGCACCGGTCACCCTCTTCCTGTCGCCGCTCGCCTCCTGCCGTCCACCGCCCACCTCTCCCGGCGCCGGTCGCCCTCCTCCCGCCGGAGCCCGCCTTTTGCCGCCCGCCGTCCAGGGGCCACCACTCTCGGCGTCGGCCGCCCTCCTCCCGTCACCGACGGCCACCAGCCGCCATCCTCCACATTGGTCGCGTCACTATCCACCGCCGCCTCCCCCCGCCGTTCATTGCCATAGTCTGCCGCTTGTTGTCTGCCACCGCCATTCGCTCGCGCACCTTCCACTCGCCGGTTACCCGAGAAGGAGAAATTTTGTGTCGTTATCAAGCAAATTTTTATTTAGGGTACAGAAATTTTGTGTCATTATCAAACGTGTTTTTTTGCTAAGAAATTCGTTCAGGAATGGAAATAAAAAAATTAATTCCTGATCAAAAATTAATTTCTGAAATAGAATAATTATCATTTGTAGCTTAATATAACTTTATCACGCGTTGCTTCTGTTTTACTGTCAACCAACAGTACCGGAAACCCACTTTCCAGGCGCTTTAATTAAGGGCAAAAGTAGGACGGACAAGCACTTCAGGATCGTCAGAGTCCTACCCCAGCCGGAACTACGACGGCTTTGATTGAGAGCGCAACTGTGCAACCACATCAGTAACTCCCCCCCGTCTTTTACAGGCTTGTGGCACCCCACAGACGCAATGAGAACTTTCACGCGTCAGAGTCAGAAAATCGCGGTACTTTGCTGACGCAGAACAGAAGCAACGCCGCCATGACAACCTCGTCCGGCGGATGTATGATGTGCGGACTGATCACTGCGCCTTGTATTATTATTGTTCTTGGGATGGAGAACGGCAGTCAACTAGGATGAAATCTTCAACTTATTAAGGAAGAAGGACAAATCTTCAAAGACGGTGAAAAGCATCAGCTTGAGGCCCCCCTCAGGCCATTCTGGGCCAATGATGCTGGAGCTGCTTCCCCTACATCCATCCTGGTTGGATGCCAAGTGGTACTCTATAATGCGGCAGGCTTGGTTCCCTAAAAAAACTTCACAGACTAGATTTAATCCTAATTTTGTCTCGAGCTTTTCTTTATTTAAGAAAAAATTACAAATTTTCACTCTAATCTCAAATATATCCGACGTTTGAAAATTGCTTCTGATTTCTTCAAATTATCAATATTGGGAGGCTAATGTTGTTCTACTTCCATACGAGGAGTGAGGGTATTGGTGAAGACACAAGATTAATAAATTTCTAATTGGCCCTGATGTTAGTACTTTTGAAGAAGCTAGTGGCAATTCTTGGACCGGGGGGGGGGGGGGGGGATATTTGGATCTAAAGAGTAAGTTTGCGATTTTTTTTAGACAAGAAAAAGTTCGGGATAAAATTGGGATTGGACTTAAAGTTAATATTTATTTAAGGAATTAACATTAGTCCGAATATAATTTAATATGGCAACTGGCAATCCAATGCGCACTCTCACAAAGTGCATTGTCGCACTCTATGACGACGGAAGAGGGTTGGGCAACCCTTTGCCACAACATCAGAGGGTTTCCAACCCTATGCTCGAGAATACAGAGGGTCGTGTGACCCTCTCCGCTTTCTCAAGAAGAGAGTCCCCTGACCCTCCATCGCCGTGAACACCCTCATGCACTAGGGCGAAGGGGTCATGCGACTTTCATCCGCCAGGTCGAGGATCCACTCGACTCCCCGCCACGAAGGCGGGGTGGACACGCTACCCTCCACCCGACGAAGGAGAGGGTCACACAACTTTACACTGCAATGTCGAGGTGGCCCTTCTTTCACTCTAGCCCGAGGGTCTGTCGACTAGCGACCCTCCGCCGTGGCGAATGGCCACCCTACCCTCTTTTTTTATTCGTAGAGGCGGCAATACCCTTGGCAACGGGGGTACGGGTTCAGCCCTCTCTAATAGTGGGTAGAGGGCAAAGACTGTTTCCCATTTGAAACTTTCAAATTTGATAGGGGGTTCAGAGCAAATTTCTAAAATGGAAGGGGTGACTGAGTATTTTCGCCAAAGCTCAGGGGCAATTCGACTATTTTACCTTATTTCTATTCCCAATTCCTCTCCTGATTGGTTAAGAAACGTTGAATCTTGATCATTTTAATGTGCTTTTCAAGTTTTGGCTTAAACTGAGAAAAACTCACATGTTATTTATGATCATTCAAACAAAACATTTCATGAAAAAATTTCCAGTATCTAGTAATTCATTTTGTTTCCATTTATTTGGAAAATTTTGATATCACATTATCGCGTACTCAACTTTTGTGGTACATAACTGATAAGTAACATAACAACCATTGTGCAAGTAAAGAAAATAGGTGTAATTAAAATTGAAGTAATTTTGTCGTAAATTTTTAACATGATAGGTATTTTAATACGCGCATAATATTGTTTTATTCAAAAGGAAAAATTACTTAATCCTGAGTTGAGAACACGTATGTGGACGAAAACTTTACCGAAAATCAGATATTTCTTGAATTATATGTAAAAGTACGAGTTACCACATGAGATTCTAAACGTTTATAGTTTTTTGTACTTTCTGTTTCAATCTTCTATATACAAACATCGGATTTCATGGTTTAATTATAAAAAGATCCCAATAATTGGGACCTTTTGGAGATGCCCCACTCCTTTAAATTCCTATAGGTACACAAACAACCTTTTAAATAGTTGTAAATATTCACTACCATCTTTTGTTCATGTACCTCCAATCCTGACAATGTCCGTGTATTGCGAGGAAAATGAATGACTAGAAAAATATTTTTATAAAAATGATCGTTTGAAATAATTATCCAATGAAAAATATTTTCATCATCAACAACAATTTATATTTAAATATTTTTATGGAAGATGAAACGATTTTCAAAATTATTGATTTTCGGCGAAATAAACGGAGCTCAATTCAAATATGCCGCCACTCAAAGACGTTAGACAAGCACTCATCAGACAAAAAGATGGTCATCTAGAAGATAACAAATTGAGATTATTACCAAATAGAATAAATCTCTGTTTCACCATCAAGCACAACATGTAATATACTCCAACCACATTACACCACCGCACCAGAGAGGAGAACTCACTTTGCTAAACCCCCTCCTGAACAAAGAGAGCCAAGAATCCGGCAAGCAAAGATACGACGGACGAACACAATGTCTTCATTTGGAAATCGAAGAAGAACACATAGGCGAAAGATGAAAAAACTTAGGCATGACGAGACTTTAAGTCCTGGAGTCCAAGGCCATGATGGTGCTGAGGTTCATCGGGTACATGTATCTGGTGTCGGCGGTCAGGATCTGCTGGACGATGATCCTGTTGGCCCTCTCCGACGGATGGAACGGGTCCCAGAACGCGTAGACGTCCCGGTTGGGGCACAGGTTGGAGGCCACCGTGCACAGCCCCAATCCGTTGTAGGGCCCTTGCCCGCAGCACGCCACCTTCGATGTCTCGAAACCTGCGCCGATCGGGGTCACGCACACCAAAAGCATGGTCAGAACAAGTATGACCAGGAAGAAAGTTCGATCCGTTAGAGGTACGGACATGCCGGAAATGATACTAATTCGGGAAAGTCTAGGCTTTCGAGTGCTAATCAAGACTGGTGACGTGTCAATAGAAATGCAAGATACTAGTCTCTCTCTCTCAGATCAGTTGAGTTCAAACCAGAAATCATCGTACTAAGGCCGTGCTTCATATCATTTGTTTGAATCCGGTTGGTTCTCACTCAACTTCTGAGTCATTGTCGTTGCGATTTAAGTTTCGTTCCACGCTATAGGTTGTCTCTAGAGGGTGAGAAGAAGATGTGATGCCCCGTTATTTACTAGGCAGAATGTGACTGACCTAAGTCATTCATTTCTCGCATTTACTAGCAGGGATGGGCAAATGGACCCAGAGTTTCAAAGAGGCCACATTTACTTTAGTGCCCAATAAATTTCTCAATATTAAAAGAAAAAAAATAAACGGAAAAAAAAGCATATAACTTTCTCATTTATAAAAAATGCTAGACATGGGCTCCCATAACATTAGCACCCTAAAGACCAAGTGGTCCCAATAACTATTTAATTGCTTAGGATAATATAAAAATGTATTTAGATTTTATTTATTTTGTATATTTTCACTCGTAATATCACCTTCACTTGCAAGTGCTATGCGAGGGTTGCTGCATCTGCTATTTCAAGTGCAAACTATGTTTCGTTTCTTGATTTTTTTTTTTGACACGTTACCATATGCTTGAGGGTCGGTGATGAAGTTGACGCTCATCTCTAGCGCGTTGGCGGCGACGAACACGTCGGAGCCGATCTCTCTGTTGAGATCGTTGATAATTTGGATGAGCTGGGGGTTGAACAAGTGGGCCGCCCGCTGCAGCTCCTCCGCACACTCGCCGTTCCTGCTTCTCTGAGCCAGCTCGGCTGGGACGCAGCCCAGCGGCCCGGTGCCGGTCACAATGACCCTCCGTGCTCCTAGTTCGTACAACCTCTGAAATGAAAAATTGGAATCTTGATGTAAGAATTGTAATGCCATAGCGAAAAATTCATCTAAAGGTCTTGATGAGAGATTGCTGTACTGTCTACTCTACTGCACAGAATTTTGAAAATTAGATGAGAAACTTTCATATTGTTGCATTCTTATTATTATTAGTAGATATACAATACGTCTCATGCATTATGCCTATTGAATGCGAGAGGGAGAGGGGGGGAGAGAGAGAGAGAGGCAAAATTATAAATTTGTGTTATCATTCAGAACTTGTCCCGTAGGCCTTAGAGAGGAGTACCCACCCCCATGACAGCATGAAAAGGCCAATGTTCACATACAGCAAAAATGCTATTCAATCTCATCGACCAAACCCGCTGAAAACATCCCTCGTTCACGACGCAAACACGCATGCATAGTTTACTTTATGTCATGAAAATAGCATCAAAAGTGTACGTGCCATGTGCATAGATCAGAACTAAAACATGGAAAATGGCATTGATGTTTCACATTGGTTTTACTAGCCTTTAAATTCATGTCATGCTTTTCATTACAAAAACCCTGAAAATTTTTAACAGCCAATGAAAATCTCAAAAACGTACATATGTACATTTATATTTCTCTTTTGTCGCTTGACTAACAGGAAAAGTTCAAATGGCTTACGGCCAAGATCTTGCGGTACTCGGAGATGAGATAGACAACGTAGTCAGGGAGGGAGAACTGGCGGGACCGGGCGGAGAAAGGCACCAAGTAATAGTTGTTGACAAAGTCGTTGCCGCCGAGGGTAATCAGCACGAGAGCGTCGCTCACGAGCCGCTGCGCTTGGTCTTCTCCGATGAGTGAGGCAACCCTTTCCTGGTACTGTTGGAAGAATTGCAGTTGCTGGGAGATTCGGATGATGTTAAACTGCAAAAAGAAAACCCGGAGACAAGTAACATTGGAGATCAATGAAGCAAATATCAACACCAGCTCTAGAAATTTATCCCCAATTTTGAATGTACATCGCCAAGGTTAAAAACATATATCTTAGCTCCTAAGTTACGCAATTTATGATGTTCTTGTCCCCATAATGTACGATTCAAGCGCGAAACTTTCATTTGACTTCAAGAGCTAGAAATGTATGAGCATTTACAATAATCAACAAATTTTCCGTTTCATGACATAATGTGGAATACCCTTCCGTCTATATTAGTTGTTTTTGCTTTCTACGAATTAAACGTGGTTGCAAATGTAACCCTAATCTGACACATTGATTTTTCTCTAGTTTCTTTGAAGAGCAAGAGCTGTGCAAGCTAGCAAAACAAAATGCAGTTCAGTTTGAGACTACACTTACGAACTGAATTCCAGTATCATTCAAAATTCCAATTCCGGCGGAAGCAAAGTTGGCGCCGATGAGCAACCTTTCTCCATTGAGCTCAGGATCCAAATATGGCAACGTGGGTTCCGAGCCAATCGACTCACCTGACAATCAACAAAAAGACCATATCAGTTTGGAAAAACAAAAATGCCGAAATCATCACATATATACACACAAATTTTCGTTTCTCGAGTCCTAACTGATAATGTCGGGAATGTTTAACCCATTGGAGAAGCGGCCGGTGGGCCGATGAGTCGGATAGTCGATGCCGTAAGGCGGTGCGTCAGCCCTGGCAATGGTGGCGAGGTAATTGTTGTTGCCACTGTCGACCAGCGAGTCCCCGAAAACAAAGAAAGCGCGCGCCGCGTCGACTCCTGGAGTCGCAATGCCAATCAGCACTGCTAGACTCAGAATCATCGAGCAAGAGATCCAAGAGAAAAATGTGCCCTCCATTGGGGAATAACCCAAGCACTACAGTATATACTCTCTTAAACCTTAGAGCATGTAAATCTTTCTCTAGAGCGAGACTAGCTCCATGCAACGCATATATATGAAAAGTGAAGAGCAAATGGTTTATATAAAGATCAATCATTTGGGTTCATGCATTGAATGGCGATATCTGCTAACGCCCTAGTACATATGGAAAAGGTCCACATGCACCGTGCCTATTATTGGGTGCGGGTAGGGCTTCGAATTGAAGAGGGTATTTACTATTTAGCACGATTCTATCGCATTGTACGATGTGTTGTGTGCTAGTTGTGTTTATTTTATCCTTCTTTTCATTTACTATTTAGCACCTTTTTTTATTTTTTTATTTTTTGCTACTTAGCATCTTGCCATTCTTCTAGAGGAAAATGTTGAAAAATATTTCTTTGCCTTCACAAGTTTGTAAATTCTTATATCATTTTGATCCCTTGTATTCTCTTTCACTTTGCCCTTCGCACTATCTTTATGTGTCAATTTGCCCTAGATTCTTAGGGTGCAAACGATAACCATTATGTTTGCGAAAATAATTTCTGCCCAGAAAAATACCCTAGATGAGTTTCTGAGTAGGGAGTAGCATTTAATAATGACAAAAAAATTTTGTTTCGAAACAGAAATTCGTTTGATAGCCCTTCTTAAATATCTCCCTGCCATGCTCTTTTTCATTCATTGTGTTGCACTCCTTCGTGAGATAAATTGAATTGAACATCCTTAATCAATTCAATTGAAAGCATCGATGTAGAATTCGTACATCGACAGGTGGTGGTGGCGAGCGTAGGCTATGAGGACGAGCGATGAGAATAGTTTTTATTTATATTTCTATTCCAGAAATAGAAAAGTAGAAAATTTATACTTCTCATTTATGTTCCAAATTTATTTCTGGGCTAAAAATTTATTTGAAAAATAGAAAAATGAAACTGCATTACAAAACGGATTTCTGTTCCAAACATATTTCAAGGAATAGAAAAATAGATAAACAGATTGATTATCAAGTGCCCTTATTCTCTGTGTGTTTTTTTGGCCTGACATTTGATCAATCCCGAAGCACTATATGGCACCTAAGGGGGGACAATCACAGGCAACAAAATATATTTTCTCAACAGTTATACTACATTTGTCTGAACAATTCACAGGTTACGTGGTTGAAGAGCACTGACTACACTCCCTATATTCCCGCTAAACGTGCACTGACAGTAAGGATTGAGAGCAAACTGGTACACACACTGTGATCAGCGTAGGAGTAAATTGACATGACATAACACTTTTGGGGAGCAAAATGACCACGACGTAAACTTTGTGGGGCCAAACTGAAGTTTCCAAAGCTCATTTATGGTTTTATATTGATGTGGTTATCATCACTGTACCTACTCTTTGCAAGTTACATGTTGGTGTCGGTGATAGTAAAACGTATCTATGAACTGTGACAAAGAACCCATAATGCAACTGATATACTTTGACCTAGAGGCGAGGATTGAGTAGATATATAATGAAGCACTATTTTGTTTCGTGAAAAATAAATAATTTAAAAAATATTTTATTAAAAATGATCGCCTATATCGTTTGATATAGTGGGTCAACGAAAAATACTTTTATTATTAATAACAATTTATATATAAATATTTTTGTCGACGACAAAAATATTTTTCATTCATTTATTTTTGTAAACGATACAAGTGATCATTTTTAAGAAAATATTCTCAAAATCATTTTACTTTTTTGCAAACTAAATGGAGGAGTCTGAGTATAACCTCAACTTCCTCTAAAACAATGTTTCTTTTTTTTCTTTTTTTTTGGCTAAACCACCTCATAATAACTTGGACTACAATTTAGGGCAAGTGCCACATTTTTAGCCAGACGTCTAGGGAGACTTAAATTATTACTGGGATGCCACTGTTCTACATTATTGCAGTGGCATCATTGTTCACTATCATGAACAAGTTGTCAATGGTCTTCCCCAAGTTGAAAGAGGAAATAAATCCTCTTTGAAGCAAGTTTACACAGTAATTTTGACCAATAATGGGGTTGTGATATAAGATTTTGAGTTGGCGGGTGATGGATGACTTCATTTATTTATATAGTGTCCACCATTTTTATGAAATAAATGACCTAATAATGTAAAATCTTCTCAGGTCATTTATATGTTTTTAATGTAAGACATGCGGGGTAAAGGAATTGGGCGGGTGGAGACATTAGTATCATAGGTACGGGATGTGCAAGAGATAGAGCAAAAGTCGGAGAGTAAAGAAAGCTAAAGATAAGACAAACAAAAAAAAAACTTAGGAAATGACTCAGCTTTTGATTACATCTAAAGCTTACTCAGTGTTTCGCACAATCTACACAATGTTTTTTCTCACCAAAAACCTCATGGAGAGAATACCAAAATACTTTTAAGGGCTAAAGGCGTAATGCGACGATATTAACCTCGAAACATGCTTAAAAACGATGTTTGGCGCCACCGAGTCTTGCCGAATGTGTGCCTGGGACAACATGTTGTCCTAATCGAAAAGCTCAAGCTCAATATATAAAATAACAATTCTCCACTCTAGCTTAACATTTGAGCAGAGACAAAATCGCTGTTGCATGCTCTATACTGCTCCTCTCTCACGCCTTCACGGGCTGCTCAACCACCACAGATGTTTATCAAGTTCCGGTGGTACTCGAACTACTCAAACTTGCTCAAAGGAACGTGCTTGGCCAACAAGTCTGCATGATTATCTGCCGCGGAAAATTGCGGTTGGGAGGCAAGTCTCATGAAATCTTGCCAGCGGTCGACATCGAAATCCAGTGACGCGACTCGAGTTTCCAAATTTTGAGAATGATTAGGGTAAAGTAGTCGACTTTAGTCCATTCATATCGAAAATACACCAAACACAGCATGAGATGGGTCGTGCTATCACGATCTACAACAATTTCTTTTCCAAATATGGGAATGGCCATCATAAATCTGCAGATTTCTCGTCCTTCTTTATCCTATTCTGATCCCGCATCTCGAACTTAACATTCTCATGTCCCGGATAAATTTGGCATGATCTAGTACCCACATAATTCACTAAAGTCAGCAAATGATAAATTGTTCAACAAGATCAATGCTGGAGTTTCGCAGAAGACATGCAGATCTCCTTTGGAGGAACTCGATTTCTTGACTACTCAACAATTGATCAAGCAGATTTGATGCAGTTGATCGGTTCAAGCCAATCTTTGAATGCTCGGAGCAGAGATGCACTCCTCAACTCCCTCAGGGTTGGCACGATTGATTGGGGCTTTGAGGGAATTTTCAGCTCAGGAATCGGAGGCGACACCAACCGCGTGCAAACAACTCTAAATGTTAAATACCGGTACTTAACTGGGACTTTCAAGGGTATTCTACAGGCCTACAAGTAGCCCAGTGGTGTCTTTTATGTGAGTGTTTGTGAAAATGTTTGTGTGAGGCATGGACATTTTTTTATGAGTGGGTGATGAGGCAAAAGTTAGTTTTAGGTCTTTGAACCTAATTCTATATTTTAATTTTTGTCTTTCTATTTGAGAAAATACTTTCATTTTATTAGCACTTTTCGATTCGCATGATGCATTTTTTCCTAGTGTGATATTATCTATTGTACATAGACATACTGGGGTCGGGTTCCCAAATGCTTGTTTGAGTGCAGATGTTTGTTAGAGTGCCTAAACCTAAAAATAAGTTGGAGCTTGATTCAAATTAATACTACACTTACCTACACTTTTTCGGGGGAAACTTTTAACATTTGAAGTCCTCGCGTCAATTCAAACGTTCCAATCTCGAGCTTGATTCAAATTAATCACTTTGACCGAGTACTTTTATGTATATAATGAGTAAAAAAGCGGTTGGAACTATTATGAATAATGTAGTATCTAATAGTTGAATTCCATTAAACAGCACCACTTGCGCTCGTTAGACAATCGAGCAAGCAAATATTGGATTTTCACATATAATTTTGTCGTCGCATATTTAGAAGTTTGATTTTTTTTTATTAAATAAGCTTGACAAGTACCTCGGCTATCAATTTGGAATCCATAGTAACTTAGTAAGGGGGTGAAAATGTGGCTTTAAATGCTTATAACTTTGAAGCTTGGCAAGAGCACGTGTAGTCATTTTCTGCTTTGGCTTGAGCGGGGGATGCTCATTGATTGAACAAAGGAAGCAGATTAAAAGGCCACAAAGATGAAAGTTGGCCATGTGACTCCCTTAAATTGGGTAGGCCTGAATTTAATCTACTGCCACTACTCAACCTTCACTTCTCTCCATCTACCAATTTGCTCTCTCATTTATGAATATGGGTCTCTCTTTACTTCTTCTTCCTCTCTCTCTCTAAAATACCCATCTTGATCATCCGAGGTATTCTTTGAAGAAAAAAGGTCAATTTGATGCATCTACCAATCTAACTTGTTTCAATGAAATGAACGATGTGAGTAAACAGAAATGCTTTGACAAGGGAAAGAAGAGACATGTTGAATGTTCGAAGAAGTTTCATGAGGAGCATACTGTTCATGAAATGAGGTTGCAAACGCTAGTTGGACATATTCAATTGGCTTAACTTTTCATGGTGGAGTTCATATTAACTTCGACAAAAGAGGTTCCGATTTGTACAAACCAGGCAGACCAATGCGTTTGGAATGATAAATCGTAACGTGCATGGAATAAGAAGCAGAGAGGAGATCATAGGCTATTTACATAATATGTTCTAACAGGTCCGTTCATCCCACGCGACTATCAAAATACCATCTTGCACTACCTGTCCAACCACGTTATTACTAAACTGACGTGTGCTCAGCCTAATATAGTTTGATCGCAAACTGCATTTGGGCTATCATATATTGTCCCATATATTTCATTTGCTTTATAACAACCTTTTTTTTCTTTTGCAAAGTAAAATATCATAACAATTAATGATTACCCACATTTATGATAATTTCTACAAAACTTAATAGAGGCTTTGAGGTAATTTCTTATTCTACAAAACTACGCAACATATGATATATAATTGATAAAAAAAAAAAAAGACTATAGAGTGTACCTAGGGTTAGTGAGATTTAAATGATGTCAACTACTTTCACAACGAATTGGAACAAGAAATAGCTGGACAATGTACTGCAAACATATCGATCTCCCTCATCTTGGGACAAAGGAGAGAAGTCGGTCCACGCCCTATTGCAATATGACTGCAACCAAAGTTTTCAGGCTATTAAATGACCAGCCCACCAGTACCAAATGGAATATATTGCTGAAAATTCCATTGGTTAAATAGTTGTTCTCCGGGCAGCCAGAATAAGTACAATGATGCTCTGCTCCATCGTTTTTTCTTTCTTTTGTTTTTTTTTTTCTGATGAGAAGAAAAGAAAAGAAGAATGATCACTCCACCTAAAAAATGTAGCAATTTATGCTGGGGGCTCAAAACTCGTGGAAATATCTAAAAGGAGAAGAAATTGATTGCCGCGGGTGATCTCTTCCGGTGGGCAAGGATGCGTTCCGTCAATGAATCCTTTAAGGTCATATCCGACTAGCAAGGACATGAATTGAGCCTGCCAAGAAGCATAGTTGGTGGAAATCAGCTTGATGGGAAGCTGTGCACCAACAAAGATTGCAATAAGCCTGGTTGAAGTGGCTGTAGAAATTTCGAGAAGGATTGTTTCAAAAGCAGAGTTTGTGGCAACCATTGTTTCAAAAGTAGAGTTTGTAGCAGCCATGGCTAGGAGCAGATGAGAGAAGCTCTTAGAAGCAAATACGCTCTAATACCATAAAAGGAGAAGATTAAGAGAATATTTTTTAGGATAATTTTCATTGTTATATATCAGTGATATTTATAGTACATGTACAAGGATGTAAACAACTAAAAATATGAAGAAAATCTCAACTAATTGACAGCTATCTATAACAATGAAAATGCTGAAATTATGGAGGATAATTTGAAATTTGAATTTTAAACTGATTCTCTTATAATATCGACCTCACAAGTTTGGAATTTGTCTGAAGAGTGCACATTCGATTTGGAAGACATTGATGGTTAATTGAGGGAAAAAGAGTGTCCAATACATACCATATGCTCGTATTCAAATTCATGTAATCTCAGCAGTAACTCATCGGAGGCGGTGTTCGCCAATTCGATCATTGAGTTTTGATTTCAATCAACCAATGCACCTGAATTTTTTTTCGCTTGTTTGCATTGATACGCTTTGATCGGGATCCAAACAATGAATTGGGCAAATGCCGATTTGATGGACATTGACTTTCGCATGGCGTCCAACCTAGCGCCGCATCAGTCCTAATTGACGTAAAAAAGAAAAGTTGGGGGATTAAGAGAGTCGCGACCCTCTGCCTCCTGGCGGAAGTTGTCGACCCTCCACCTGCAACAGCAAAGGGTTGTCATCCCTCAACGACCGCGGCAAAGGGCAATGCAAGCCTCTAAGACACTAGGAGACGGTGTCGTCCCTTTATTTGCTATCATCGTGGAGGGCGGTGACGGCCCGGCGAGTGTGACTGAGGATAGCGCGACCCTCTACTGCTTTTTGCAAAAGGCAGTGCAGGCCACCACGACACCAGGAGAGTTGGTCACAATGAATGAAACTTACCCAACTAACGCTAGAAGAATTATCATTACCGGATCTCATTACACGTGATGATGAGCTTGAATTAGACATAAATAAAAAGAAAGAAAGCCAGAAGCTTGTGATAATAGTATTGGCAAAAAGGAAACAGGTGAAAATGATGGATTTTAAGTCGAAAACCAAGTATTTTGAGGTACTTAAATTTTAGTGGTCATTGAATCAAGTCAAATAAAAAAGGAGAATAGATACAACATCAGGGAGCAAATAAAATGTCTATGTGACGCTTCATTTGCTGAGCGAGGGGTCCAAGGCACAGACCAACTTAGGTGGGATACTTAAGTGGAGAGAGAGAGAGAGAGAGAGAGAGAGAGAGAGAGAGAGAGAGAGAGAGAGTTTTCAATGTGTAAAGTTTGTGTATTTAGAATGCGGAAAACCTGTCTTAAAGTTCATTGTACAAAGTGTTCGTGTTTAGAACGGGGAAACTTCTCTTAGAAGATTTAGGTTGCGCTTAAGAATGGCTTTCCCAAAGACCTTTAAATCTCTGAAGGTACTTGGCCAAATGCTAAGGAGTTAGGCAAATTTTTTTGGAGAGTTCTGAAACTGTATTGCGTCCGTTAGCCTAAGGCAGAAGCGTAGGAACTTTACAAGAGTGATTTTTCTAAACACCATTTAAATCAAAGTTGCTTCCAATGCATTTTTAAATCCCCTAAGCTAAAATCCCTTGCATTTCCTTAAAGACTTTCCCCAAATGCCTAATTAATATGGCAACGCTTTGCCAAAAAGCTTTGGGGCTTTGAATGACTTTGGGTAAATGCAAGTAAAATTTGACAAATTTTTTTAAGAGCTTTTCGAAGATGCAATTACATTTCTAAAAACCTCTAATGTCTCTTATCCCAAGGTAGGTCTGTATGAGCTTGGGTTTTGAACATTTTCGGATTGCTAATACACTTTTTCTTCCAATTTTTCCCTCGCTAAAATTTTAAAAATTTTGGAAATTGCCCTTACCTCGCTTGACGTTGCCGGTGAGCCTTGCCTGAGGTCATGCGGCCTCAAGCGAAGGCCGCGGGCATCTGATGAAGGTTTTGAGTTTTTTTATATTAAATTTTTTTGTATCAAAAGTCCTTTTCAAGTTTAGTTTGTTCCAAAGAGCATTAAAACCGAAGTTTTTTCCAAATACACTTTAAAATTACATTTTACCAACACTGTATGCAATTTGAAAATACACTTCAACCTAAAAACCCTCCTGCATTTCTCCAAAAGCTTTCCCCAAAAGCCCAACCCAATGTAGCCTTACTCTCCTATTCACGTTAATCGGTTGGACGCAGACTTACCATACCCTAGCCGGACATGGTTTTTGTACAAACGAGAAAACCGTCCGATGCTTAAATCAGGTCGGATATAAAGAGCAAGAGAGAGTTTTTAGGCGCAAAATTATCTCATCCCTGAGATCCTTCGCATTCTTAATACACATAGCACAATTAAGGATGTGATTTCTCGTGTTGGGTTAAGATTAACTGCCAAGAACATGGCCTCTCGAGGTGGCGTACGTTCTTTAGTTCAATCATGTATTGAAGGGCCATGTAAATTCAAGCGACATCACATTAGAATCAGTGAATAAAGAGACGGTTCGCATCCAACTTCGGCCAGTCCCATTCATTGATTCCAAAAACTTCAATCCTTTTTGTTTCTTTTCTCGGCCTGCCCATTTGTTCCTTGCAAATTTCGATACTATTTGTTTAGTATCTGCCTGGATTTACTCGTCACTCTTTCTTAATTTCCAATTTCTATTTGTGATTTCATCTTTGGAATCACAATACTTATAGATTCTAATTAGTCATAAACTTTTCAACTTTGTCAATTTAGTCCTAAATCTTTGCCTGAAATTCCAATGCAGTTATTTCGGTCAATTTTCGTCAGGAATCGTTGAAGTGGTGGTCCAGTCATTACCGGCCGTCTTACGTGGCATACCCCCACGTCAACAATTTCCGATAAAAATTGGCTAATACATCGGAATTTCACGCAAAAGTTTAGGATTAAATTGGCAAAATTGAAAAGTTTAGAATTGAATTGGAAGCCGTACAATAAGTTTAGGTTTCATTGGCCAATGTCCCCTTAGAAACTTCAACTCACCAAGATTACATTTAGCATTTGCCAAACTCACAGTGCTTCGGAGAAGAATTGAATTCTTTGCACTTCTCAAAATTGCCGTTCGCTAGCTATGAGACATGAGCCAACGCCGTTTTGGCTAGCAAATACAAAAGGTTACGAGAACGAGTCGGGTGGCAAAATCGGTACATAACCACTTTCTAACTCGAATTTAATGGCCAGGTGGTACATAGATTACCTAAAATCTTGAGAACATGTTGAAAAGGATTTCAGAAAAATCAAATCCCAACTACATGCGGGTCTAAATAAGTTTAGAACATTTGGAACAGACTCAGAGTCAACCAATTTAATTTACTAACTCAATTACTATCGAAAAATAACAATGGCGAGAGAGAAAAAGAAGCTAGACAAGTTTGAAAACAGACGGTGGAGAGAGAAGGGTGAAAACAAATAGCTACAGATCTCGCACCAGTGTTGCCTGAGTTTGCGATGGTCTCGCTGATTACCTCAGCTTCGAAGCTAGTATGCTCTCTCTCTCTCTCTCTCTCTCTCTCTCTCTCTCTCTAGCGAGGTGATCAGCCTATTAATATGTGACATCATTGATAAAATTAGGTCATGTAATCTGTAATTTTCTTTACATGGGATTAGGCCCAACTGGACCAATTTCAATTGGCCCAGGAACAGAACACGGGACTATACTTTTCGATTCAACTTCTGATGGTCCACCAATGCAACCCCGAAATTCCCGCGTAAGAACGCTACCTGATCAACCCCTACTCTCTATCCACACGTTATGGATTTTGTGCCGACGTGGCAACGGCCCATTGGCGGCAAAGATCAACCCGCTCTAATTCTCAGACAAGTCGGATAATTTCCCCACCCGAGGAAGAAGAAGAAAACGATCCTCTCGCTTTTGCTCTCCTCAATTGCCATCTTGCACTTAACAAGAGCTCCTTAGGCAAAGAGATTGGCACAAAAGAAGAAGAAGACCTCTCATGGCTACGCTGAACATGGCAGCTTTTGTGCTGAGCCCAAGCATTGGCTCCAACACGAGCTCTTCCACCACCAGGAGCATTGCCTATTTCCCTAGGGACGGCAACAGCCGGTCCGCGAGGAGGCTTGTGGTGCGGGCCGCGGAGGGGGAGGCGGTGCCACCGGCGGCCACCACCACGCAGGCTCCGGCCTCGGGCGAGCCCAAGCCCCCTCCGATCGGGCCCAAGAGGGGCACCAAGGTAATCGATTTGCTTCAAAGCTCTTGTCATTCAAGTTGAATAGATTGGGATGAATCATGTGGTATTAGCATACTTCTGAAGCTTATCTTGGATAATTTTTCATCAATCAGCCGTCTTACCTAGTAATAGCTATTTATATGTAGATTCAAATCTGTTGAAGTGAGTGTTGTAGTTAGCAATATTTGAAGGAAAATGCTGATTACTCTCTGTGGTCCGGAATTTTCCTCTTTTATGTTTTCTTAATTTATACTGATTGACCACCCTTGCTAGTTTCTGGAGTTAGCATTTCACTTTGCTAAAATATGACACGCGAATTATTGCCCTGTCGAGAAATATGATATCGTTGTCTGTTTTATAACACGATGCGGTTACGCATGCATTCGTGGGGATTTTTACATATAGTCAAGTTAGCAAAAAGTAGAATATTGCGATGATTATCAGGCTAAGAACCAATGATAAGCCTAATCGAAATTCGATGTCGTCATTCGTAGAGATAAAGTATGGTGTTGATGGGTACCCAACAAAATCTACAAAGTTTGCATCTTCAGTAAAATTTCAGTTCTTGCAGTGGGTTTATACCAAATTACTGTGGCAAATAGTCAGATGGGTCGATCATAATTCCTTTCTTTTTCTTTTGTAGGTGAAGATCTTGAGGAGAGAGTCTTACTGGTTCAAGGATGTGGGATCTGTGGTCGCAGTTGATCAGGTCTGTCTCTCTCTCTCTCTCTGCGCTTCGAAACACAGAGATATCTTGGCAAAAACGTTTGATTGCGGATGTTTTTTTGTTGTTCACGCATGACGGACAGGACCCAAAGACGAGGTACCCGGTGGTGGTCAGATTCCAGAAGGTCAACTACGCCAACGTATCGACCAACAACTTCGCGTTGGATGAGATTGAAGAAGTCTAAATGAGTGCTTTGTAAAACCCAGGATTTGTATGATACTTTGTCTTTGTAATATCCTCTCCATCTTCTTCTTCCACAGTCAATCTAATTCATCCACGAGTGCCTTATTAGATCGACGACGCAGACCTTCTTTCGTCCATCGATCGAGTTCACCATCGTGGGCTTGTAACCAAGGTACTGATTAAAAGGGTGGACGCGTCGAGGTCATGTTGATCCGCATTGCACCTCCCTTCTTCGTATCAGGAGAAAACCCCTAATCGTTAAGTACGTCGTTTCAGTAGCAGGCTGATCATGCCCACTCACGTACGAAAAATCACACGAACAATGAGGAAAAGAGAGGATCAATGAGAATGTTGATGTTAATGCCACCCTCCTTTGAGTACCTTACTGTACTCTTAACACCAACAAAGAACATTATTCTGAAGCGATTTTCCATGACTTTAGATTGGTTAAATGTGATACATTCATGTTGAGCCTTCGTGCATGCATATCTTTGAACTTTTACTTGTGCAAGACGATGAATAAAGACCAGATCACCAAAGAAGAGGAGTCCTGCCATATCTCACGAACATCCGTTGAAAGACTATTTACCTATGAAGCAGCACAAACACAAAATATATATACTAGAAAGGAGTAGAGAAAATATAACCATAAAATCTACAATCCATTTCAAACATGGAGCCACAAAAAAACCATCGTCAGAACTTAGAATGGGTTGCGGCCAGGCCCTTACAAAACCACATGAAAAAAGGCTGAAAGCCTAGAAAAAATCATAGAAAGAGCCCAAAAAAAGGCAAATAGAGCCTTAAAGGACCTTTCTATGATTATTTTCCGCCTTAAAAAACACATAGAACAGACCAGTTCTACTCTTAGTTTTCTAGTCCCTATATCACCCCATCTAAGGGACGAAAAAAAGAAGATAAAAGATATAAAAAAAAGAAACGTAAACCCAACTAATTTATACAATCTATAAAGGGTTCTCTTTTTATAAAGGAAAAGAAAGAAAGAAAGAAAGAGAAACGTTCCTAAAGAACCAAAATTAACATAATTCTTAGCTGTGCTTCATCTTCCTCCTCTTGTACCAAAACGAGAGGCCATGGTGAACCACATCAAGCATACAAATTCCATGGAACTTGCAAGCCCTCCCAATCTGTATTCTCTTGACTACCATCCGGCAATCACAGCTCCTCATGACCAACAAACCCTAGATCACTCTCTCAAGATAATCACTCCCAAATGAGAACTCTGGCCAGCACTCGTAATCGCCCTGATCTTCATTCACCATGTCAGGCAACACCAAGTTCTCCCATGACCAATCCACGTAATTGTAATTAGCATCTCCCGTCGCGCGACTAGCAGTCTCATCCCTCATGTTAAATGGGTCGTGACTACTTGCATCAACCGCTTCACTCTTCACCGCTTGCTCACTTATACAACTATTGCCGGAACCAACCGCCGAGAAGTTGCCACTGTTGTTGTCGCTGTTGATCGGTGGTGCTGTGATGGCAGTCGTTGTCGCGGGCAAGTTGAGCCTTGCGGAGGGCCCGTAGAGCTTCCTCGCGGCCTCATCGTAGGTGAGGGCCGCCTCGAGGGAGGTGTTGAAGGTGCCGAGTCAGAGCCTCACGCCGCAGTTTGGCTCGCGCATCTCAGCCACCCCCTTGCCCCACGTCCGCTGCCGGACGCCCCGGTACGTGCAGAGCGCTTTCTCGGGGCCACCCTTGCCCCTCATGCAGCCCTTCCTCGAGCTGCTTATGGAAGGCTTCTTGGTTTTGACAGCTTCTTTCTTCTTGCCAGCTGATATTTGTGCTCGATCCAGTTTGTCCATGTTTTACGTATCTCTTCCTGTAGGATTTGAGATGATGAAAAGGAGGGAAGGGGCCTTTGGGGACCCGAAGTGATGGGAGGGAGACTTTGATTCTTGGTTCAGTGACTATACGGAAGAAATGACACAGACCTTTTATAAGATGGATGTATATAGGAAATTCAGTCTTGTACGGACAGTCGGAAAATGAAAACTCATTTAAGTTGGCAGAAAATATTCTCATTTTGGAAAATATTTTCCCGGAAGTCATTTTCCTGAAAAATGTTTTCCTGAAACACAATTTTCTGGTGTTCGGCTAAAATCTGAAAAAGTTTCGGAAAATATTTTCCGTTGTTCGGTATAGAAATGATTTTTCTTCTTGTAATACTTTTAATATTTTCTTTTTTTTTCTTTTTCTTTTGCTTCTTCTCCTGCAGGTCGCCGACAACGGCTACGGCCGGAGGCGAGCTCGAGCATCACCCCAGGCCGGTGAGGCTCGAGCTCGCCAGATTCCGGCGAGGTCGAGCCTCGCTTGATCCGGCGAGCCCGTCTTCGCCAGATCCGGCGACCTGGGCGAGGCTCGAGCCTCACCCGAGGTCGCCGGAGCCTCGCCGATGTCTGGCGACCTCGGGCAAGGCTCGAGGTCGCCGGATCTAGCGAGGCCCAAGTCGCCGCTGGCGATCAAGCAGCCCGAGGAGCCTCGCCCACGAACAAGAAGAAGAAGAACCCACAAACAGCAACACCAGAAAACAAAACAATCAAAGCATCAGCAGATCCGGCGACCTTGAGCCTCGCCTGAGGTCGCCGGAGCCTCGCCGACGTCCGGCGACCTTGGGCGAGAGCCTCGCCGACGTCTGGCGACCTCGGGTGAGCCTCGCCCGAGGTCGCCGGATCTGGTGAGGTTGGAGCTCGCCGACCTCGGGCGAGCTCGGCCTCGCCGGATCTGCCCACCTGGGCGAGGCTCGAGACTCACCCGAGGTCGCCAGACGGCGGCGAGGCCGAGGTCGCTTGAGGCCGGCGAGCTCGGGCCTCGCCATTGGCCGGTCGCCAGCCACAGCGCTGAGGAAAGAGAAGAACGAAAAAAAATGAAAAAAAAAATAGTGAAGAAGAAGAAGAAGCAGCTACGGAAAATGATTTCCGCTTTTGAAGAAGTGGAAGTCATTTTCCATAGACTTAGGCTATTTTGTGAGGGGATAAGGAAAATGTTTTCCCACAGAAAACGTTTTCCGCCCCCCGAACACCGGAAAACCCGGAAAATATTTTCCGGGAGAATATTTTTCCGGAAACAAACACAGCCTTATTGATAAAATGGATTGATTCTCGATATTAAAAACTATACACGTATTCGTGCTTAAAACTCTATATTTTCATACTGTCAACGTACCAAATAAAATCTTTATTATTGTCTACGAGCTAGGAACACTAAACTTAACGTGACAGTCTGTAAGTGGTTGTTTAAATTTAATTGGCCCATTTACAAAAAAAATTTACGAGACGAGTTAGCGAGGGTATACGAGGTGATGTGCTTTTCATTTGTTGGGTTTATATCAACATGTTGGTTACTATTTCGTAGGTCAAATTTGGTACCTCAAGTCTTGCTCGTAGACAAGATTGCATTTGGATAATAACTCTTTGCAATGATCATTAGCATGAAATAATCGGAGGCACCTATATCGGCCGCGGGGGAAAATTATCCAAAAAGTCCTAAACCTGTTACACTTTTGCCAATTCAGTCCTAAACCTTTTAAGTCTGTCAATTGAGTCATAAACCTTTTCACTTCTTAACAATTAAGTCCATTCGGCTAATTTTAGCCATCCGGAGCTAACGTGGATGCTGAACAGCCGACGCTGACGTGGCAATTTTAAATATTTATTGATTTTTTTTATTTTTTTTTCCTGGCCTTCTTCCTCTGGCCCATCCGACGACCGGCCAAATGCCGGCGAGGTCGAACCGGCCAGAGGTGAGGCCTTGCCGACCTCTGGCGAAGCTCGCCCTCGCTGGCCACTGGCGAGGGTGAGCCTCGCCGGCACCTGGCTGGGTGAGGTCGAACCTCGCCCAACCTCGTTGTCCCAACCCAAGCGACGGCGATGGCGAGGTCTGCCTCGCCGAGCCAAGGCGAGGCCGACCTCGCCGTCGCGACCCAGGTGGCGACATGGATGAGCTCCTCGCAGTTCTTGGCTACAAGGTGAGGTCGTCAGGCATGGCCGACGTCACCCAGAAGCTAGAGCAGCTTGAGATAGTGATGGGCATTGCTCAAGAAGACGGCATCTCCTGTCTTTCCTACAATGCCGTCCACTACAACCCCTTCGATCTCTCGTCTTGGGTCCAGAGCATGCTCTTTGAGCTCAACCCTCCGCCGGCACTGCCGCAGGTAGCCGACCTGGTCTTCGCTCCGGTCGAGTCATCCTCCATCATCACACAGCACCAGCGTTCGCATACTGGGTCTCAGTCTCAGGCTCAGACGCCGTCCCAGGTCATCTTCAATGATGAGCACGGCTTGAGGGCGATTCCCGACATCGTCACCTACCCGCAGAGCGACCCGGACTTCGAGAGCGCTACCTGGAAGAGGTTGAAGACCCTGAACGGCGGGTCAAATTCGTTGTTGTCCTTGTCCTCCTCGTCGGTTGTCGGAGTGGCGACCTCCGAGTTGACCCAACCCTCGCCTTTGGTCGGTCGCTGGATCTGCCTGAGGGAAGAAGGCCAGAAAAAAAAAAAAAGAAGGAAAAAATATTTAAAAATTCGAAAAAAAATATTAAAAATTGTCATGTCAATAGTGGCTGGACGGCCGGTGCCGGCCGGCGTCTACGTCAACTCCGGGCAGTCAAAATTAGCCAGATGGACTCAATTGGCAAAAAGTGAAAAGGTTTATGACTCAATTAGTAAAAGTGAAATAGGTTTAAATGTTTTGGACAATTTTCCCCGGCCGCGGGAGCAAAGTAATCGAGAGGCGTGCCAGTCATCTGTTATTTAACATTCTACATTAGCTGGTCATCATCTTAACCACATACGATATCGCCTGGCAACTTCATCGGAACTTAAATTCGCTTCTTAAACGATCCTTTTAGTATACTGGAAATCGCTAATACACGACAATACGAGAACTTGTAGGTTCACGAACACGACCCACTCGTGAAATGAATTCAAATTTGGCACATCGAATAATAACAATCCAACATCGATAATATATTCCTACATTCAATCACTTACACATAAATTTCGCAAGGGAATTATGACTTTTTCTTTTGTCTAATGAGTTAGGTGGATGCATGATACTCGTAGAGAAAGAGATGGTGGCTCGAGTTGACAGG